CTTTCCACACTCTTTCCAACAATCACCAACTCTGATTTGGTTGAAATAAATCCTTAATTCACAGAAGTAGATGAGAAAAACAGCAGAGAGGCTGTGATAGCAACACAGGCAGAGGGAGTGTGACACCATAACTACACTATATCTGTACATAGCTATCAGTTGTTTGCTGCTATATTAGGCATATATAGGTCTAAATCTTAGAAAAGATTATGGTTTCAGTTAAATGTTAAACCTAAAAAACACAATGCAGGCATTACATATCTCTCAAATCGTATTAGAGGTTACAAATTAGTACTATAGAAATAGAATATAGGTGACAAGGTTGCAAAAAGCTTCATGTCTCCATGCAAACCTATTCAAAAATACAAATTTTGTATTTTGTTATTAATATGCATTTATGAAACACCTGATAGGTGTTGAATCAACTCTATGGATCTGTGGATGTGTAAAACATGTTTTACAAAAAGATCCTGTCGCCAGAAAATTAAAAATATTTTTTTTCAGTTCACCTGACCTAAAAAAAATCTGTCTGTTTTCCTAACAGTTTGTCTGTATTATTATTATTATTATTATTATTAGTATTAGTATTATTAGTATTATTATTGTCTGTGTATGGAACTATACATGTATTAGGTCATTTATTTCCCACTCAATAATAAAAATTGACATCATTGTCTTATTGTCGATGTATTTTGAAAGAATGACAAACAGGAAACTGAAATGGTTCTAAAATAAAACGTGCCGCTGATGACCTCAGTGCGTCTGATTCTCTGATGATTGATGATGTAAGTCGGCTGGTCACGTTTTCCCGCCGCCACCGCTCTTCTCTATCATGTTTTATTCACTCACTCACTCACTCACACACACTCACTCACACAACACACACACACACACACACACACAACACACACCGCAAAAAACCACAACCACAGCCACTGACACGTGAACTACCCGTTAATTCCCCTCCGTCTGCCACTGTCAACACAACCGGAACACAGCTCCAATTTCAAAATAAAACCCACATTCGTAAACACAACTGAGAGTGAGGGAAATGTAATTGTTGATAATTAACCACGTGTCTAAAAGATGTTCTTATTTGTGACAGGAAATTAAAATAAATTCTGTCTGAAGGTATGTTTGCACCTCGTTTTCTTCTTACCAAGCGCTTTTATTGTGAGGGCAGTATGTTATTTCCGGTCTGGTGCTGGATCCATCTGCCGGCTTTGACGCACGGAGCCCGGGGCTAAGAGATGCTGTCAGACCCCTCTGTGTTGACAGTCCCGTTATTTTATCTTCTCTGCATTCTTTTCATTTTCTGTCTTTAAAATCAAACGCACCCTGTCTCTGTCCGTTTTCTGTACCATTCTGACCCACGTCAGTCGGGCCCAAACCCGGTCCAGGTCTTTAAAAACACGTAATGGATCCAACCGGACCGCATTGATTACGTCAAGTTGAGTCCAGTGAGACGGGAAGTAGAGAAGAAGTCTTTCAAATATAATGTCAACTACGTCGTTAAAGTTAACTTAGTTTAATAACATTTCTTTTTTATGTAGCTTTAGTCATTTTAAGTGACACTGACTAAATGGTAATTATTTTGTATTTGTACAGTGGAAGAAAAATAATCTTTTTTAACTACAATTGAAGTTTGTGTTACTTAACACACCTTTCCTTTGGCATTTCAACTAACATTGGGTTTCAGATCAAATGTGAAAAATTGTGTCTCCAGAGAATATAACAAAATAATTAGTACCTTAAAAATATACTCATTACCAATTATGTGATTAAGGTATTTTTAATGAATCTTCAAAGGATTTTTAATGGTATTAAATAAATAAAAATGGACAAAATAAAAACTCCCTTAATCAAGATCTTAAAGGACCTTAAATATTCTTCTAGAACAAATCAGGGAAAGATGTAATACATCAAATACATATTTAGAAACATGTATTGAAAAAAGTTTGTAGTTTACTTTAATCTAACTTTTATAACAAACCCCTTCATGGTTCCCATTAAATATACCTTTGTATAGTAAAATCTATTATGGACCTGCCTAAAATGTACTTCATTTGCTTGTTAAATGTGTTTTATATATCTAAAAAATGTGTTGTTTGACAAAGATGAAATCTTGTAAATTTTGATGGCTGATTATGGAATTTGGCTATAATAAGTTACATTAAGCATGTAAAACTGAGTGCAGTTCCTGCCATAGTTCAAAAGATTGGCAGTGGTGGGAAGGTAAAAATATTTCTACACTCTAGAATTGCTAAATTTATTTAAATAAAAGCTCTGATTACTCAGTCCACCACTGGTGATAGACAGGTTGCGTAAAACCTGCGAGTCTCTGGGCAGTATTCGAGTGTTGCGCATTTCTACGAATCACGCTTTTAATCTGAAAAGAAGCTCAACCCACACCGGAAACCCTCTCCTGGTTGTGTGTAACTTGACAGTGGCAGCGACTGTAGCGGGCTGCGGAGTGTTGGACTGACCTGAGGACGGATTTAACGAGAGACACTGTGGACGTTATCTCAGCACGGGTTGTTTGCTATTATCCTTTCTCCTTTATCTCGGCGTAGCCTCTTCGGGGGTTAAATAAGGAGGCATCCTGGAAGCACCCGGAGAACCGCGGATATCTACGCGGCATGGATGCTTCGTGGCCCGCGGCAGGTGTGAAGAGATGCCGGGGGAGCCGCCGGCGGGCACCGGCCGGGTGGTGCTGGTGAAGAAGATCGTCATGAAGGACGGAGCTGCGGTGGGTGGCCGACCCGCCATTTTTATTAATATTGAATTAATAATTGATCAACCTGTATGATTGTTTATTCGATTTGATGTCGTTTAAAAATGCTGCGGGCTGTGTAATATAAATAACCCCTTCATTTCAACTACACCTCCATATGTACAGTGAGAATAAGCCTTCATTTCTACTAGTATGTGTATGACATAACAGGATATTAAAACCCATGACGTATGCCTCATTTATCATTTATGTTGTGCTTTAAAAAACAAACATGTATGTCAATTTCACAGCAAAATTAATGGAAAAAAATACATATCACTTGACATATAAAACTGCTCCAACAGCTAGTTTTCTCTATTGCTGATTGCTGTGAGGGTGCATGTGAATGTCACTGTAATAAAACACAACTGATCAAAGGTTCCAGATGATCACATGAATGAATGGCTGCAGCCAAAATGAGCCCGAACAGAGCACCTCTGGTCCAAAATGGCTGTTGTTGTCGGATGGAGGAGAGTGTGTGTTGTAATGGAGTCTGATGTGGTCCACAGACAGCTCAGCTTAGTGTGAGGATGATGTGGTCAGGATGGATCCATTATCTGTTACATAACAGCTCTCTGCCTGAAATACACTGAGGGGAGGCAGAGACTGCAGATTGAACACTCCACAGCCTCCATGGCTCCGTCAGCCTCCATTTTAGCATCCTTCATGACAAATAGTGACAGACATTTCTATTATATTAAAACCACGAGAACGACAAGGCAGCTTGTAATCTACTGTCGATTAGATATTAAATGTTAGAGAAACAGAAACATGCTATTAATATGATCTTTTATGGAGAATGTGGTGCACTGTGTTGATGCAGCATTAAGCAAACATGTCAAACACTGTCTGGTTCCAGATTCTCCACTGTGAGAATCACTGCTCTTTCCTCAGTTGGATGTCGTTTTAGACTGAATATGTTGGGGGCTTGGACCGGTGGCTGGGCCAAACAAAACATATAAAGACTTCACCTTGGAAACTGTGATGAGCCCTTTTCACAGTGTTATTGATTGAACAATAATAGATCAACAAAAAAAAGATTGACATATCATTCAATAAGGAAAATAATGTTGGTTGCACCCATACAAACAACATCAAGATCATTCAAGACAGATGATAAATTAAATTCTTAAAACATAAATTAGGCTAATGTTAAACTAAAAACTGGGCCTACTCTAAATATACAGAAAGTACACCTGGAAAATTTAGCAGATTTATCGATTAACGACCAAAACGATCAGCAACAAGTTTGATAATTGATGAACCATTTAAAGGACCAGTGTGTAGGATTTAGTGCCATCTAGCGGTGAAGTTAAAGATTGCAAATAACTGAACTGGGAATGAGAAGAGGCTGCGATACTCACAAAAATGCAAAAGATCCTATTTAGAGCCAGTGTTTGGTTTGTCCGTTCTGGGCTACTGTAGAGAC